AGTACGTGGGAATCCCTAACCACTGAATTCCCTGTGCTGGAAGAACCACTGTCCCATCTTCTCCATGGTTCCCATGAGCACCACCACAGCTAAATCAAACTCCAGTACAGTTGCTGCTGCTGAGAAGACGGAGAAATACAGCCTCGGTGGGAAATATCCTGATTTGGAACTCCACAGTTACCATTGAAACAATGCCAATGTGTTCAAAATAGGAATAACATTAATCCATATTGGATATGTTTTTGGTGTTGTTAAACCCTTTTAGGCTGGTCAAGAAGACTAACCACTATTGTTTCCCTGAGAAACACGTTTTGAGTACCCAACATCTGGTCTAAAAGCATTTTTTGGAGTGTGCTGCTTGTATGCTTAGGCATCTTTCCTGCCTGTTGAGAGGAGTCAGGCAAGTAAGCTTCATGAGCGTAGGGACCTTGAATGATTTTGTCCACTGGGGGATTCCCACTGACCCGCACAATATTCAGCATACAGAATATAATCAGAAATTATATGTTGAATAATTGAATGGATAAGTTATAAGAGAATTGGAAGAGAGAGAGACATCACCACCCACCCAGCTCTTAACTGATGCTAGACATGTACATTCTTACAATAAAACAATAAGCCACCTCATGGAGAAAAGGATTGTTATTGAAAATATGGTACAAGTTTCTCAACAAGAAGCCTATCATATTCAAAACGTCTACATTTTCAGCATGTGCACATTGGAGTTTTCTCTACATCAAGGGTTTGATAGTTTACCAATAAATAGGTTCACAGCTCCAATTTCTTTCTGCATATTCTTATCACTATTTATAAAATTTTCCAACTTCCTCTGTATTCCTGCTCTCAGAATTTTCCTTTTTAGCCTTCTAGGAACTTTCTTATCTTACAGTGTTTTTTTCAGATAGAAAATACTTTGTTTTCTCCTGAATTCATCATTATTATTGGATCTTGGTTTCCACAGTAACCCCATGCCCTAGTCAGTCACAGTGGCTGGCGCAGGTCTGGGTGAGCCTGTGAGACCCAAGCAAATCAAGAGGCAAGGGCTACAAAACGGCTGAGTGACAGAATTTTCCTAGAAGTCCTGATAGTTTGAAACAATTGAAAACCACTATTGTTTTGGAAGCAGGAATGAACTCAAGCATAGTACGTGGGGAGATGCTGGAGACATTCAGGTACGGGCACAATGGGGCCTGAGACCACGTTCAGTTGGGATCACTACCTAGAGCTTTTGTTACGCTAGAAAATTGCAACCTTTTTCTAGATAAGTTCAGGTTTTTTGACTTCCTCACCACATTGGTAGCTTTGTTCTCAGGGTCCCGTGACCACTCAATTATGACCAACTGTGATACTATCTCCTTAGGGTATGTTTTGGAATTTTCAGAAGGCTGAGTGGGGTGTAAGTCTTCCAATTCCTGAGGATGTTGGTAAGACATAGAGCCCTTTAAGATAACGAAAAATTATCCATGTCACAAATAACCATTGTTTTCAAAGTAAATAGACAAAGTTCCTAAATAAGACAAACATTCCTTAATGGCTGGGAATGTGGTACCCACAATTCGTTGTACTTCAGCTCTCTGAGCTTACAAATAATATTTCCACAGATGTTTTTGGAATAAGTATTGGCTCCAACACTTATTAAATGTTTAACTTTGGGCAAATCACTTATCTGGTTCCTTACACGTAAAATTAGGAATATAACAAAACCCACTTCAACAATATGAAGGCTATGAAGAATAAATTAATAAATGTATTCCATTTAGTATGTTGCTTGGAATATAGTTAGAACCCAATAAAACTGGCTAACATGAAGATAATAAATAATGAAATTCACAACCCACTTCAACAATATGAAGGCTATGAAGAATAAATTAATAAATGTATTCCATTTAGTATGGTGCTTGGAATATAGTTAGAACCCAATAAAACTGGCTAACATGAAGATAATAAATAATGAAATTCACCTTGAAGATTATAAATAATAAAATTCCAACAATGGAAATCAATGAATATGTATCTGAGACAAAAATCACTGATGGCCAAGTCCTGATGACGAAGGCTGCTAAGATTACTCCTGTAGCTCCAAAAAATGAACTGGAAATTTCTTTCTTTACCGACAAACTCTGACTTTTAAACTATTCTTGTAGCATGACTCTCAACTTGTTTTCTCAGGAAGCTTAGCAGTGGAAAAGGATGCTGACAACTTGAGGAACTCACTTCCACTGTTAACCCTAAGAAACAAAACAATCATTGAATTATAACTATAAATAGAGACTTTGAACTTTCGGTCATTAAGTCCATATTTGAATCATAAATAGAAAAATATAATGGGTCTCCACTAAATAAGGAAAACAAACAGTCTCTTTCTATTCCTGAGCATCTAAAAAAAATGTATAGAAAACTTACTAGCCTGCAGGTGTCATTTCAGAAGACATAAACAAAAACAAGGAAATAATCATGTGCCCTGGGGCTCATCAGCACCCGGCCAGTGTACATAAAAGGCCCAGGAGTGGAGGAAGACATCACACCTGAGAACACCCAACTCCTCTCCACAGCCCACTCCAGACCAGCCCCAGACACCACCATGACGGGCTCCTGCTGCGGCTCCACCTGTGGGGACTGCTGCCAGCCTTGCTGCTGCCGCGACCCCTGCTGCTGCCGCCCCGTGTGCTGCCAGACCACCGTGTGCCGCCCCGTGACCTGTGTGCCCCGCTGCACGCGCCCCATCTGCGAGCCCTGCCGCCGCCCCATCTGCTGCGACCCCTGTGGCCTGCAGGAGGGCTGCTGCCGCCCCATCTACTGCTGCCCCATGTCCTGCACTGAAGTGTTCTGCCGCCAACCCATCTGCTGTGACCCCTGTGGCCTGCAGGAGGGCTGCTGCCGCCCCATCTACTGCTGCCCCCTGTCCTGCACTGAAGTGTTCTGCCGCCAACCCATCTGCTGTGACCCCTGTGGCCTGCAGGAGGGCTGCTGCCGCCCCATCTACTGCTGCCCCCTGTCCTGCACTGAAGTGTTCTGCCGCCAACCCATCTGCTGCGACCCCTGTGGCCTGCAGGAGGGCTGCTGCCGCCCCATCTACTGCTGCCCCATGTCCTGCACTGAAGTGTTCTGCCGCCAACCCATCTGCTGTGACCCCTGTGGCCTGCAGGAGGGCTGCTGCTGCCCCATCTACTGCTGCCCCACATCCTGCACTGCCGTGGTCTGCCGCCCCTGCTGCTGGACCACCACCTGCTGCCAGCCCGTCATTGTGCAGTCCCCCTGCTGCAGGCCTCCCTGCTGCCAGCCCGCCCCTTGCCGCACCACCTGCAGGACCTGCTGCAACTGAGCAGCACATGATCACTAAGGGTCCCCCAGTAGGTGGCCAGGTTCATCCTGCTGCCCCTCAAGGCATCATGGCAGAACAACATGCATTTTCTTGAGAAGTCCATTTCCCATCTCTTCAAACTAGCTCACACTATGCATTGGACACCTTTTCAAGCCAACTTCTGAAGAAGATTACTCTGACCTCTTGGGACCCCAGTCTAACTCCTATATCATGTTGTCTGTTTTCTAATAAATTTAATACTCCCAACATAGAAATCATGATCTTTGTGATATTTCCTTTTGGTAGATTTCCTCTTTCTTTAGTCCAGAGATATTCAAAGACAGATGCAAAGTAATAGTCTTAAATTGTTTTCTGAAATAACCTAAGTCTGAGTAGTTTTCTTATTATCATTTTGAATGGCATTTATAGAGCACAGTCTGAGTGAGATGGGCATGACTGTATCTTCATCACGTGTACCATGACTCATGCCCAGAATTCCAGACACACATCAGGCACCTGAGAAATGTCTTGCAACAATGAACACATTTAGGGGCCGCATCTGGGTTGACACTTATACTCCTAGTTTGGTGCTTTGTTTAGTGATCTGACGCCTGTTGGCACATCATAAAAAGCTCAGAATGTTACAGGTGGAAGGAAACTCAGGTAAGATCTGCTCTCTGTTTTTGAAGTTGAAGACAAAGGAGTAATGAAAGATTATACAAGTTACTTAGTGATATAGTTTAAATGTAATTATAATCACAGGTGTTCAGAAAACACCCTGAAAAATGCAAGCTTCCTGCCATTAGACCAGTAAGTCAAACACTTCCTATATTATAGTATAGTAGTGTAGTATAGTATATATAGTATAGTATAGTAGGAAGCACTTTTAAATTAATTTGGATTTTTAATTGACACCTATTAATTGTACATATTTATGGGGTACAGAGCTACATTTCTTTTTTTTTTTTTTTTTTTTTTTTTTTT